TATGCAGTGATATAAATTTATTTACTTATTTAGTTGATAAATTTATCTCCTGCCTTTTAATATGGAAGTCACACTAGCATATATAGCACTTTATCCTTCCATGAAATAGGTAGGGTATTGTTCTGCCCCAGCTACCGACCCCAAAGAACGCAGCACAAAGAAAGTCCTTAAAACCTTAGTTTACTAATTAAGGACTACTAATGAGCTTTCTTAGTAGTTGTTCAAATACAAGTATAGTTTAAATCAGTCTTTTCTGAACAAAGGCTAATTTAACTTCATTAACAGCCGACAAGAATCCAAAGAATAATAATTCAATTCTGAGGCACAGTATTTTCAGATAACCGTAATCTTACTGTGGTTGGCAGAATGCCATAAACAATTTGCAGGAACACTGACATTAGTTTTCCAAAATGTTTTCATTGTGTTTATTCTTAATTCTGTTCACTTTACTAGAGGCTTCTTATCTAGCCTTTTTTTCCCGACTTCCCAAACAATATTTTATTTCTATCAAAACCCCTCTCCTTTTTTAGGCATTCTGTTGATGTTGCCCCAAATGGAACTGGTTCTTTTGGCAGCTGTAGTACACTGCTGGCTCATGCTTAATCTGGTCCACCCAAATCCTTTTTACAAGTTATTACTACTGATGAGGCCTGTCTTGTACTTGTGCATCTATTTTTTTCCTCCCTAAGTATAGAACCCTATATTTCTCATTCTTTATTGGAGAAGACATAATATTCAAGTGTATCAACATCCTTTTGAACCTTGAGCCAGTTTTCTGAGGAATTAGCAATTCCTCCCTGGTTTGTGTTGAGTGCAGATTTGCTGACCATCTCTTTATTTTTATTTATTTTATTTTTATTTTATTTTATTCGATTTCTATGCCGCCCTACTCCCGAAGGACTCAGGGCGGTGCACAGCCAAACAATAAAACACATCCATACAAAATTTAAAAGTAGAATAAAATCAAATTAAATAATTTTGGCTCTGACAAATTTAAAACCCCGAACTATTTAAAACCAATTTTAAAATTGAATGTATAAAATACTAAAAGATATTTAAAAATTAAAAATCTTTTATGAAAGAGGGAGAAAACTAGGCCAGGCCCGCTTGGTGAAATAAAAAGGTCTTTAAAGCGCGGCGGAAGGTGCGCAGATCCGGGATCCTCCGTATCTCTGGGGGAGCTCGTTCCAGATAGTAGGTGCCCCCACAGAGAAGGCTCTCCCCCTGGGGGCCGCCAGTCGACATTTTTTGGCCGACGGCACCCGGAGGAGCCCCTCTCTATGGGAGCGTACCGGCCAGTGGGAGGCTATTGGTGGTAGTAGGCGGTCCCGCAAGTACCCAGGTCCTAAGCCATGGAGCGCTTTAAAGGTGGTAACCAAAACCTTGAAGCGCACCCTTATTCCCTTGTCTGAGTCATTTATAAAAGTGTTGAAGAGCTCTGGGCTCAGGACAAAACTGATGTATCCCACTTCATGCCTCACTGTATATAGCCCTAGATACCTTAAGCTTTATGATTTAGGTATGGTTGTTCAACCTACTGTGAATCTCTCTGATAGTGGGACCATCCATCCCACATAGTTCCAATGGTCAACCCACAGCTAAAGGAATGTACCACAGTAAGTTGTATGTGGTTTGTTTATAGTTTAGTCTGTAGTTCATAGTGGGAATTCAGCCATTATAATTTAGTTTTATATGAACCTGGCTGTAGGCAACAAACTATGCTTTTAAAAAGGATGGTGTCTGAACATATATGTTATATAGTAGTGGTCTACAGTGTAGACCATTATATAGACAGAACCCGAAACATTAATCCATTCCTTTCTGCTGTAGGATTTGGATTCTTAAAATGCAAATGTTGCTTGGCAGAGGAGTTTCTTTTTTAAAGCTTATTTTTTTTCTCCTCTTCCAGATGTTTTCAGGCAGTTTTGTTGTTGTTTTTAAACTAATTCTATTCATGTTTTAAAAATTTATGAAAGCACTAATAAAAATGTCAAAGTGGTAAAAATGTTAGCTTTTGCTCTGCTTTGATTAAATTTTGCAAACTGTTTTTGAATATTAAAAAGCAATTTTTTTTATTCTCTCTTCCCTCCACAAGTGATTTGAGAGGCCGGATGCTTGGCTATCACTCAATAAGCTCATTTGCACTCTAGAGCCCCAGCATCATGTTTCTCTATTAAATAACACAGACAAATTATCCTTTAAAGACACCAAGCAAATTGTCACTCCTCTTACATTAAACTCGGGAGGGGGTGGAGTGGGGAGAAAGAGACAAAGGATTTTATTGTTTTTATTCCTTGGGTGGTTTTTTCCATTCTAATTTCATGTGTATATTTTAATAATGGCCAGACCTATCATAACTGGATTTGTTTAAACTTCTTATTAACAAGCCCATATAATTTTTAAAAATGTTTTTGATGATTCAACTACTTGAATTTTTGATATTTCTCTTTTTCTGTGTCAGGGTAACTTTGTCCCCAAAATAGTTACCAGTATGTTCAAAGTAATGTATGGAAAGAATGGTAAGAAGAACCTTACACTCAAGTTTATTCTGAGTTTCTCTTCAAGAGTTGCAGAATGAACATGATATCAGCATATTTTATTTATTTATTATTATTTATTATTCAAATTTCTATACCGCCCTTCTCCTTTCGGACTCAGGGCGGTGAACAGCCAAGATAAAAACATCTATACAAACATCACGGTTAAAAATAAAGTTAAAATAATTTATAAATTTGGCCCATAATTTAAAACTTGTCAATTAAAATCAATATTAAAATTTTAAAACTAACCCTAAAATCAAGACAGACCGGCTAACTGAAAAAATAAGTTTTTAGGGCCTGACGAAAAATCCGGAGGTCAGAGATCACTCGTATCTCTGGGGGTAGATTGTTCCATAGGGTAGGTGCCACCACAGAGAAGGCTCTCCTCCTGGGGGTCGTCAGCCGGCATTGTCTGGCCGACGGCACCCTGAGGAGGCCCTCTCTCTGGGAGCGAACCGGCCAGTGGGAGGCTATTGGTGGCAGAAGGCGGTCCCGTAAGTACCCTGGCCCTAAGCCATGGAGCGCTTTAAAGGTGATCACCAACACCTTGAAGCGCACCCGGAAGTCCACCGGAAGCCAATGCAGCTTGCGCAGGAGAGGAGTCACATGGGAGCGCCCCGTCGCTCCCATAATCCCCCGCGCAGCCGCATTCTGCACCAGTTGGAGCCTCCGGGTGTACCCCAAGGGGAGCCCCATGTAGAGAGCGTTACAATAGTCCAGACGAGAAGTGACGAGTGCTTGAGTGGCCGTGCGTAGGGAGTCCCGGTCCAGAAAGGGGCGCAACTGGCGTATCAGGCGAACCTGACAAAAAGCCCCCCTGGCCATGGCTGTCATATGCCCTTCTAAAGACAGCCGCGCATCCAGGAGGACACCCAAGTTGCGGGCCCTCTCTGTGGGGGCCAATGATTCGCCCCCAATAACCAGTGATGGCGTCAGCTGGCTATACCGGGACGCCGGCAGCCACAGCCACTCGGTCTTGGAAGGGTTGAGTCGAAGCCTGTTTCTCCCCATCCAGACCCGCATGGCCTCCAGGCACTGGGACATCACTTCCAAGGCATCATTGGGATGGTCTGGGGCGGAAATGTACAGTTTTAAGTTTTAAATATGTGCGTATGTCTCTCTTCGTCTTTCTTAGTACAATGTTTTTGAAATTGTGATCTGAGGATCCCTGTGGTCTCCAAGACCCTTTCAGATGTCCACAAAATCAAAATTATTTTTCACCCTGTGTTGAAAAATAAAAGTATTAAAATCCCATGGAAGAATTCTGAAAAACAGAGTGGCAATGAATGTGTCAGTTTTAATTTACAATAAGGTAATCATTGCTTACCAATTGCCTCATTTAGTGATCTTTTGAAGTTTTGATGGTGTAAAAAAAAAGTCACACTTATCCTTACTTTTGCAATCTTTGCAATGTCCTGTGGTGACATAATTGAAATTTGCATGCTTCATAATTATCTTGCAACAAGAGAGTTAATAGAGAAGTAAAATCATAAGTTGTGATCACAAGATGTTTCACTTAGCGACCATGACCTTTACTTAAGGATCGAAGGGCATTAAGGTCGTAAATCTCTCGTGATAGTATGATTTTCCGCTTAGCAACCAAACTATCGATTCAAATTGTGGTTTTTAAGTGAGGACTACTTGTATGGTGCATATTGATAAATATCATCCATGCAAGCAAAAGCTTGTTTTGAGGTCTTCCATAATTTTTAAAAGTGGGAAGGGATCCTGAGACAGAAACATTTGTATTAGATTGTAAGACCTGGGCCTCTCAGATGTTTACAGCTTTATGTAATGGATGATGCTAGATCAATTAATAATTACAGTAAGTTTATTTGCTATAGTTAAGAAAAAATTAATTTGTATGCTTAATTTTTCTTTTGATATCTGCATATACTGAAGCAATATTTTGGTACCTTTACAAACCAGAGCTCTAATGAATGTTATGGCAGAAATACATACTTTGGACTGGTGGGTGATTTTGATACCTTCTTAAATTTGTTCATTTTAGAATTGACACTTGTCCATCTTCGTAGGATGAATATTGAGTGAGATTGTATGAGAGTTTTTTTTTCTTCCTCTCTAGGTTTCTCCAGTCTTATATATCTTCTGCTGGTAAATTAATGTAGTTGAATACAGTATGAGATTCATGCTGAGACTATAGGAAGGCAATTTAACTTATATGTAGTGTCACTATTACTGTATAGCTTTCCAACTGCAGTCTCCAATTCTACTGAATGTATCATATGAGGTTTTTTTTAAAGAAGTACTAAAATATTTTATGGTATGAAGAAGGCAAAACATTCTTTTTATTGAGTGAAGTTTTAGAATCCAAGCCATTATTCTTATCTTGATTGGCATCACATATTGTATAGGGTTTCCATAAATTGTGGTTTAACTTGTTAATATTTTGCCTAGCTATTTATTTAAATTAGGCTAATATGTTATGTTTTTTTGTAGGAGATAATTGAATTCCCCATCCTGAAGCTGAATGGCAGGACAATGGAGATTGAATCCACTTTCCACATGTATGTGCAGCCAGTGGTGCATCCTCAGCTCACACCTTTCTGCACTGAGGTAAAGCTCTTTTTCTTCTGAGAGCTTAATGTTGCCTTGCAGTTTCTCTAGGAGGATCTGAGATGCTGGCAGTTCTTCTATCTGCTCATAAAAAATTGATTAAGTCTCTAAAGGTCTTCATTGTTTTGGTTATAATAAAAATAGGTAATTGGGTATCCAGACTCCAGTATATTTTCAATGGTTTAAACAACTATGATTTTAACAAAGGTGAAAGTAAGGAATTACAAGACTTGAACTTGCAGTCTTTGCAAGACTGAAATTATATGTTACATAGTCAAATTCAACTTATCATGCCTCATTATCTGCATTCAACATATTATTCCCATTTTTTCAGTTATTTTCCTGATCCGGCTTACTTCTGTGAACAAGGCAAAATTGAAACGATAGATCTGTCTATTTCTCACGATCATCTATGAATAATTTGATAAGGGGGACATACATCGCATATTCCAAAACCATGTTGTAAAGGAGGGAAGAAAGAATAGAAATGGAGACAACCTACATTTGTTATGGAAGCTGTATATGTGAAAAATGGAGCCATCATATCTGGCTTCCCCACTGACTTCGTTTGTCAGAAGATCAAAAAAGGGGACCACATCTCCAGGACAGTGCAACTGTCATAAATATGAACCAGTTGCCAAGGATCTGAATTTTGATCATGTGACCATAGGGATCTTCAATGGTCGTAAGTGTGAAAAATGGTCATAAGTCAGTTTTTTGAATGCCATTGTAACTTTGGTCACTAAACAAACAGTTGAAAGTTGAAGATTACCTGTATATGCAATTAATTTAGTTCCAAAGCAAAAACACAATATTTTGCTTTCCTCTTTCTTGTACATATTTTCTTCTGTTTTGGTAAGATTTTAGATTCCTGTGTAAATAGCTGTTTACAGTAACCTTCCTTTCTCTCCTTGCTCTGCATATGTTTCTTCAACAGGACTGATACTTACTAAATACTAGGAAAAGGTTTTGTCTCTGCGCTTTTACTTATAGAAGTCAGCTTTATAGATCTCTTTGTTTGCACAGAAAGACCAGGTCTGATTATCTGATGGCATGCCAGAGACAAGTGCTTATTGTAATCAGGAAACTGTCTTGGATTAGAAATACGAGGGTGTATTAGATAAACACCATAGGAAAATCCATTTTGTTGGCATTGTCTTGGAGATTGCTTGGTTCTCTGCTCTTCTCTTTCGTTTCTTTTTCCATTAGGCATAACTGCTATGGCAAATTTACCAATTGTACTCTATTGTCTAACTTTCTTCAATTATTTGAAAAAGTATAGCCTCATCCCCGCAGGATTAAGCAATGTATTTTTCTGGAGTGTACTTGAACTAGAAGGTGAATCTATGTTTTGTAATGTTTCTTTTATCACACATGAGGCTAGAAATACTATTCCAACAGGGGGAGCAGGAAGGCATAGTATCTTTTTTTCCATTGTATATCCATGTATGAAAGAATGTCAAACTTGCTTTCTTAACTGCTCTCAAAACTAAGTGAGAAGAACTTCTGCTTTTGCATGGAACCAGAGAAACATAAATGTGAACTTATACTATTAATCTATATTTTCAGTGTAGCACAGGCTGAAAGGAATAACAATTATTGTTTATTTCAAAAACATGTTACACTAGGGTTCAGATAAAATAGTTCCTATCCCCAATCTAATGGATATATTAAACCAGAGAAGAGGTCAATCTAAATTATAAATCAAATGTAAATCAAATGTAACATGTATTCTTACCAGTAGCAGCTAATCAAAACCATATATTTTAATGCTTTTTATAACACGATGAAATTAACACTGAACAGTTCAGCCTATTGGTTTGCCCCTCCACAACAGTCACAGTTTCTCACGTTACCCCTTGGAAAAATTAATTGCCCACTTCTCTGTTAGAACAATAAACAGTTGCAATCTATATATATAAAAGCAAAATACCACTCACGCATCATCACAAAATCTCCAGAACTGTAAAGCCTACAAACTTGATATTTGCCACGTATATTCCTCTTTGCTTCTAGGCACTCACTAAGAAAGGATTTTTCAAAATGATCATCAGAGCATTAGTATTTCCTGTATTATTTTTAACACGCTCTGATGCTAAGGAGTTCTACTCCCCCCACCCCCGAAAAGAAATCTGTTCCAAATGCAAAACACAAGTAGAGGAGAGGAGTTTCAGTTTCAGGGGATAGGAGAGGGAAGTCTTCTCTGAGGCAAGCCTGAAGGAAAGAAGGGGGATAGGAGAGGCTTCTCTGGGGCAAGGCTGAGGGAGAGAAGGGGATAGGATAGGGGAGGCTTCCGTGGGGCAAGGCTGAGGGAGAGAAGGGGATAGGATAGGGGAGGCTTCCGTGGAGCAAGGCTGAGGGAGAGAAGGGGATAGGATAGGGGAGGCTTCTGTGGGGCAAGCCTGAGGGAGAGAAGGGATAGGAGAGGCCGATCATAACTACTCATTAATTTTCAAGCTGTAAGCTTTGATTTATCAAGACAGATCAATAGTTTCATAGTGGAGCATGGGTACTCAACTAGTTCTATATATAATTATCTATTACAAACATTCAAGTGCTTGTGTGTATGTGTTTCTAATGCACATATGACTGATGGAAGAGAATGTTTGCAGCTCAGGGCTGAACTGGATAGTTTCTTATTACTATCTGAGCTGAGTTGTTTTCATGCAGATATTTCATTACCAAACTAGATAACATCAATATTGGTAAGGAGTAGGGTATATAGGAGATGATCATGCTAAGCCCGAGGGAGGGATCAAACGCATCATAAGTCTTGAGCTAAGTTCAGCCTACTTTGAATTCCTTGACCCTTATCTACTGTCAATTTGACTTTTAATAGTTCAGAGTCTTCTAGAGAACACAGAGCACACAGTAAACCTATATTCATTTGAAATGTCTGGATTCCTGATTTCTTGCACTTAACACTAGGTTTTCTCTCATTTTATATACTAGTGGCTTGCCTTGTCAGTATTGGTGGACATAGTCTTGGTGGTTCCTTGATTGGGCTAGATCGATCTATCTATCTATCTATCTATCTATCTATCTATCTATCTATCTATCTCACATATGGCATATCATACATGGACTAACTAACAATATAAGTTAACATTTCAACTTGATTAGTAACCCAATAAAATATAAATGTTAAAAAGATCTATATCAAATATCAATGTCTAGGCCATCTAACCATTGAAGCATAGCATTGTTTATATTTTTTTAAAAAACCAGATAGTGGATTGGTATATATCCTCAGTTTACAGCCAGTCATAATGTGATCTACAGTTTGATGTGGTACCATGCAATCACACTGAGGGGATGATGCTATGCCCCATTTATACACAGACTCCCGGGAGACACTATGTGAGGTGCGAATCCTATTCAGGATTGTCCATTGCTGATGTGGTAATTCAAAGTCTGGCACCATTTTTGTGGGGTCATTTATTTATCTTCTTATAACTGGGAATTCAGCAACCCATTTGGCTTTCCAGTGGGAATTAATGTTAAAGATGTTGGGAAGATGCTTTCTAAATTTGAGTCTTCTAGCTGATGATTGAGGAAGATCAGTATGCATTGGTAGGAGTGAGTTGTTCAAAATTTTTCTGTATTCTCTCACTATAGTGCATCTTGCCTTCATAAAGCTAGTAGTGCTATATGGCTCAGAACAGGAAGCCAGCAAGTACTTGGCAACAATTGGGCTGTTATTTACTTTGAGCTTATTTGCCTGAGTTGGTAGTTCCTTGATTGGATTGATGGGGTATTGTTTGATTATTGGTGTAATGTTAATCTTGGTGTTAATCTCTTCTCAGCTGGGTATTGATTGCTGATAAGGAAGTGTTTTGGTCTTTTTGTTTTCTTTTTGGCTTTTTGGTTGTCTCATTAGAATTGTATGTATCATGTTTCCCAGAAAATAAGCCCTAGCATGATTTTTCAGGATGCTTGTAATATAAGCCCTACCCCAAAAATAAGCCCCATTTAAGATCGTCAGCCCTTGTGGGGTGGGTGGGCATGGCCAGCAGAAGAGGCAATGAGTATGCGGAGGCCAACCTGGTGGACTCACCTGTGCTGCTTGGGCTGTGCAGCCCCAGAGTGGGCTGGTGGGCTGCAGCTGCTGCCAGACACCATCGGCCTCTGTGCTCTTGCTGCCTCTTGTGCGCACGCTGGGGTGTGGGGCACCCGGCCAGACTGGTCCCTCGTGATCACCCCGATATCTTGTTTCCCCGTACCAGGCTGTGGCTTGTTCAGAACTGGGCCGCACAAGCGGTGGGTGAGCACACTCACTTGTACAAATGGAGCTCTGCGTGCATGTCTGCTGCTCACATAGAACCATCCCTTTTCTCCCCCGCCAGTCTACCAAGCCGGAAAGATTGGGGACCGCTGGTATAAGGTTTAGAAATAACAGAAGAATATCATATGCAACTAAATTTTATTTAGTTTATGTTCAACTAAATTATGTACTATTCTGTAAATCTCCCTAATAACATAGGCCATGGGTTTCACACAAATATCAAAAAAGCAAAGGTGAAATAAAAAAACCTTGTCTGGTTCCTCTAAATAATGGGAAAATAGAAGAAAATATACCATTAACCTTCTACTTTACTTTACTTGATCCATTTTATGAATTTCAAACAAAATCCGAACCTACTTAATACAGCAAATATGACTGTTTATATATTTTGTCAAAAGCTTTTTCACTATCCAACAATAAGCTTATAAATTGGTCTTTATTTTTATTCAAGTCTATTAAGCAACAACCAACCTAATATTGTTTGCTGCTTGATCATTTTTAATAACAAGCATTAACATTTGCTATAATCTATTTGCTAGCACTATTGTTAAAATCTTTCTATCAACATTAATAGATGAGATTGGATGATAATTAGCACATTGGATATGATCTTTACCTGAGTTTGGTATAATTGTAATACAAGTCTGATTAAATGTTTCTGTTTAATGCCTAATATTCCCTTATCAAATATTCCATCATACAATTTTGGCACCAAAAAATCTATAAATGTTTTGTTCCATAGGCAATCCATAGGCAATCCATAGGTATCCAATCCTGATGTTATACTAACTTGCTATTTTTAAAATTATTGTTTAACTTTTACTCAGATAGTGGGGCAGATAAAATGTCTTTGTGTGTATCTAGGTGTTTTAGAAGCAAACAATGTTTTGCATGCTTAAGTGAAAAATATAAATATTTTATATTTATATAAAATATAAAAATATAAATATTTTACATGTTCAAGTGAAAAATAAAACTTGGAATATCTGGTAAAGTTTAGAAAAGTATTGAAGCTGAATTGATGCAATAAATCAAATTGTACTTAGGCTGTCTTCTAATATACTACACAACAGGTATTGTTGACTGTACAAAAACTGAACTAGATGCTTTAGATCACAAGACTCCAAACTTCTGACAGTACATCACTTCACCCAATAAGCAAACATAAATTATGTTTACCAAGGAAAATTGATGGTCTTTAATTGCATGTGAAATAGACGAAGATGAAATCAGAGGTGTAAATGATTATATAAAAGCAAGCAGAGGGAGAATATTAAGGTCTGCAAGGCAAACTCTTGAATTTGATGGAATCAGAAGGAACATACAGAACTAATTATTTATAACAATGAATGAAAAAATGGAAAGATAAACCTGCCAATACCTAAAAAAAATAGTAATAAACTTGGTAATGACTTCAAATTGGATTCATCAAGAATGAACATTTATAGCATAAAAAAAGCACTAGCAGCAAGTGCCATAAAACAACATTTAAAAAACAGGAAACTGCAAATATAGATTATACAAGGTGAAAGACAAGACTCTTAACTACCTAAAAAGTGGCGGCAGCAATATTGTCCAGACATGTTGCATGGCAAAATGATATGTTGGAATTGATGCCCCAGAATAATAATATGACCATAATAGCACTTAGACTTATATGCCACCTCACAGTGCTTTATAGTTCTCTCTAAGTGGTTTACAGATTCAGCATGTTGCCCCCAACAATCTGGGCCCTCATATTGAAACAGTGTTTCAGAATTAACATGTAAAAATGTTATGGAACTTCCAAATTCAGAGTGACATATACAATGCAATATGTTTGACATCACAATAGTTGAAGAAAAGTAGGCTATACCTAAAGATGTAGTAATGCCAAATGATGGCAAAGTGGCTCAAAAGAAACTGGAAAATATTGTGAATTATTTAGACTTACCCAGTAAAATACATATATTATGAAATAATGCATCAAAAGTTTACCTATAGCAGCAGAATTGTCAAAATAGTTGAAAAAAATAGAATGTTTTGCCCTCACAATAGTTTACAAAAAAAAAATGTTTATAGTGATATTTTTAGAATTCTTAGATTTTGGAATAAAGCTCAAATTGTCCTTAAATTATCAGCAATTAGAAGCAGTAGTTCTACGACAAAGAAATACTGGGAGAGGAACCCAACATATTTTATCAGATGATCTCTGTAGCTCTGGAAAGGAGCATAATAGACATTTAGCCTAACTCCTAGAATGAATGAAAATGGATTCTCCCAGTTCAGCATGCAAACAGTTGGTTTGTTTTAAGATTATGTGTACAACAAGATGAAAAGAAATAACTGTAGTGATAAAGAATAAAGTAATTAATAGAAATATAATGGTTCTAGCTAATGATTTAAATCAGGGGTATCAAACTCATGTCGTCACAATGGCGTCATGTGATGTATCGTGACTCCCCCCCCTTCGCTAAACCGGGTATGGGCGTGGCCACTGTGTTATGCATCTGACTCGCAGGCCAGGAGTTTGACAGCCCTGATCTAAATGTAAGCTTTAAGTGAAAGAGATTTGCTCATCCATCTGACTTGCAAAGTTCTATTCTCATCAGCCACAATGATTAATTATATTTTGTTTGTGTTTAAGAATTCTGTAAACAAAATGAAAGATGGCATTTATTTACTTTTGTGTATTCTTCCTTGTCTGTGTTGTTTGCCATTTGATGTTTTCTGTAGAGTGTTTTAGCATTAATATTTAGTATTTTAAAAAAGCAATGAACGCCTCAACAGTAGCAAAAAAGGGAGGTGGGATGGAAGTGAGCTTTTCTTTTTCTATGGCTATTTAGTTTTCAATTAATATGTGTTTTCTGTGTTTCTTTTGTTTTAGCTGACTGGAATTATTCAGGCCATGGTGGATGGACAGCCTAGTCTCCAGCAAGTGCTTGAGGTAAGCAGAATAACCTTTCGTTCCTGACCCCTGATCCTATTTCTCCCTTCCCCCTTCTTCTTCTTGTGTATTGAACCACATAATTTGACTATGATTACAGCTTCATTAGAATAACATTTGCTGTCACATAGGTGACATGCTGTTGTGAATATTGAACCATTGATCTGTCATTTCCAGCTGTTCGTGTCAAAGGTGTTTGACTCTTGCCAAAAGCCATGAGGAGGTATATGTAGGGGGAATTCTTTTACTGGCGACGGTCTTCAGTGTTACATTAAGAATACTGCATGGAAGATAATAGATAATATTAAATATTTAGTAATAAACCATTTTATATAAGGTATCTGAATATGGGACATAATCTTAATAATGCCATTTGCTTTATGTGGCACTCATAGCATTTAAAGCTTAATTAGCTGAAAGTATTTTCACAATCAATAGCTTTTGGTGTTTGGTCTCTGTGAATGGAATTTCAAGAGGTGAATCCTACTTGATTATGGTGTGATGCTTTGCTCCCTTCAGGATTTGGGCCTAATAGTTCTTGATCAAAATAATTGCAACCACAGCTGCGTGAGGAAATCTGATTAAAGGGTGAAGTTGCATTCCCTTGCTTCAGTGATAATATGGAATTGCTTGGTGAAAGAAAAAGAGACAGCTGGGTATCCTGAATGACATTCAGTAGTGAGCCTTCCATGCTACTCCATTGAGAACTGTTTCAACTAATCCTGGGAGAAGGCCTATCTTTTATCTTCTCATTAATAGGGGAACTAACCTTAATAGTTTATTCACAACCCAAGGGATCTCATTCCTTTATCAGAGCCATGAACAAAGCCTGAAAGGACCGTGCCTCCTGTTAATTTAGCTAGTACTGATGCTGTAATACAGTTCAATACAGGACAGAGCCAGGACTTACGTATTTTGGCCAATATGGAATGAATATATTTTTTACTGTTATATGGCAGGCCAAAACACCACTTTATTATGGTTGCAATTGAAAATTTGAAATTGAAGCGAAAGGTTGATGTCCCCTCCAGAATACAGAACAAAAAATTGTACAGGTATTCCTCGACTTATGACCACATTTGAGCCCAAAACTTCTGTTGCTAAACAAGACATTTGTTAAGGGAGTTTTGTCCCATTTGTTGACTTTTTCTGTAGTGACTTTTTCTGTAGTGTACAGAAAATTGACTTTTTCTGTAGTGAATCACTACAGTTTTTAACTTATTAATACGGTTATTACGGTAAGTGAATCTGGCTTCCCCATTAACTTTGTTTGTGAGATGTCAGAAGATTGCAAAATATGAACACATGATCCCAGAACAATGCAACTGTCATAAATAATATGCAGATATCCATAATGGATAGAAATTTTATGATAACATATGAATATAGAAAATATATGAAGAAACTTGTGAGCTGGTATATTTATCAACCATTTGAGGTAGGTCGTCAGGAAATAGGTAACACAAGAATTCTGTTTCACTGACACTGAGATACAGAGATACAGATACACTGATAGCAGACTCTTTGAAGACTGATAGTCCTCCCTCTCCTTATATAAAGAAATCAAGGTGAATCAATCTGAAGTTTCTTTCATGTACTTTTTTGTTTTCACAGGCTAACCTCGTATTTTACTAATGGTTGCTTTATATTCTTCGTTGCCATCTCTGTATCTCTCTAGAGTTTGTTTCCTACTAGAAAACAATGCTTGTAACAAACGTAGATTCTTGGTGCTTGAGAAAACAGTAAGAAGACTGTTCTTAGTAAGTTGTAGGTAGTTAGCTCATTAAGATTTCTTGGAGAAAATCTAGGAAGAGCTAGAGTATGGGAAACTACTCACCACAAGAAATAGAAAAGAAGTGCAAGAGCTTTAAATCAGAAGTGGACAACTGGTTTTGGTTTGGAACCCAGAATTTGGTTTTATATATCTTGCTAATGATACCATAATGGGAAAGATTTAAATGTAAATCTGTGTGTATATGTGCTAGGAGGGTGGGGATGGATGGGTTAAGGGACCTACTTAATGTCAAGAGGCTTAAGACATCTATTTTGCTTCTTAATCCCTTCCTTCCAAAAACTTGGCCTGATTTTTATTTTAATAAAAGTTGATAGAAATAAAACTCCCCCAAAAGGAAATCAACCCTAAGTCTTCAATTGTTAACTTCTACTCACTTCTTGAGGCTGCTGACCTTACATTTCTGGAGTTTTGAAACAGGATTCAAGCTTTTATACAAGAAACACTTAGAATAAGGATTTGTGTACTGTGGAAGGAAGCAAGAGAGTAACTGTAGTGGGATCATTTAAACCACTCAATGAAAAATTTGGAAGAACAATTACGGTAATTTGTAAAGATCTTTTCTTTCATACTGAGAGTACATTATTATTATTATTTATTGAATTTGACAAACAAAGATGAATTTGAACTTGACAAACAAGATGAATTTGAACTTTTAATAGAGGAAGACAGATGTGATGAAAGATATAACTAAGTCCTAGTAGGATAATTCTCATGATTGAAATACATAATTCCAGAATACAACTTGTTCACAGAGTTCAGAAGCAATAAAAAGAGAGATACTACACAATATGGTAAAATAGCCACACCTACACAGAAATCCAAGTGCATGAACTTCCTGGAAATTGCTCTATATCAAGCAAGAATGACGTTCTATGCTATTGGAATTACAGTAGATACTATTAATGCTTTTGAAAGTATCTGTATTATAATAAGCAGAAGCAGGAACATCCCCCCATCCCCCCCCAAATAATTCTTCCTATGAAAAGCAGAAACTGATAAGAATAAAAGGTTGGATGACTAAAGTCCTGATAGAATTACCTTCTACTTCTGTGATTCTGCAACATTGGACTCGACCTTGAAAGCATGGATACAGGCCCAAACCTATGAGAGCACAACTTTCCAAGATGAACACCAGGGAGAGTAGAAAGGCAGAGACTAGAAAGAAGGTTGTTTGAAGAAGCTGTTGTTTCTTAATGGGCAGCAACTCAATCTAAATAGCCCCAATTCATCTTTGCTTGTGTGGAAGTAAGAGTTTCTTAGATAAAAGGATTTATTTGGGTTCAATCAGATATTGGAATCATACCTATGGTATGAATCCCAATAATTCAGTGATTACTAGGTAACCTGTCCTTTGTCAAAACTTTGACAGGGTTTGCTATATAAACCTTGCTGTAGATATTAAATCCCTTTACCTTGAATCTTGAATGGGATCGTGATCAAAACCATTCTATAAATCCTCAACAGTGTTTTTTGATTCATGATTTTCTGACTGTGTCTCTTACATTGTTGTAAGACTTAAGGCACGGAGAAGTTTGGATGTATTTCCAAAGGCAAATTTCAGGTAGTTCAAAAAGGCATTAGATGCTAACGACGGGGGATTTGAATTACCTCAATAACTGCTGGGAAATTCTCTGCCAAGTATAGTCTTTCCAAGAAATTTCTGGTTTGACAGTTAATTTCTTCAAAGGTAGTAGATGGAGGAAGCTCTAAGGCAGTGATTGCAAACCTTTTAGGCACAGAGTACCCAAACCTGAAGGCACTTGCGCTCACTAGAGCGCCGGAAACCCGACAACCAGCTGGCTGAGCTGGGGCAACAGTGCACATGCCCCCAGAGAGGGCTCTGCGTAGCACCTCTGGCACGCGTGCCATAGGTTCGCCATCATGGCTCTAAGGTAAATTAGCTATCCTAGACTTGATCCTAACTAATAGGGAAGATTTAATAGATAAAGTGAGAATAGTAGGAACTTTGGAGGAAAATGGTTCTACAATTCTGGAGTTATTAACTGAAGGAAAAATAAAGATGAGAATAATCAATATAATTCAAGAGTTCAAGAAAGCAGATTTTAATACACTTAGAGTTTATAGAGTAGGATTCCATGGCAGCAGAAACTAATGGGAAAAGGTTGCTCAAGGTGGATGGGAGACACTAAAAGTGGCTCTAAAACACAATCACAAATATTTTCAAAGAGGAAAAAAATACAGGACACCAGAAGATAACCACATAGAACATTTAATGAAGATCTGAAAATATAAATGGATGTATATAAGAGGTGGAAAGTGAGACAGGTCATGTGTAAAAAGGAAATACAGACAGCCCTGATTGGTAATGAGTAGAGGTTAGCAAAAAGATACTCTTCAGTTGGGCTTAAAATAAAAGGAACTGGAGAGAAACAGCATGCTGATTGCTTAATGGAGATGGACAAAAGGTTAGCAGATAATTAGCTAGAATACTTAACTCTTATTTTTGCTTAGTTTTCTCTAAGATAAAATGTGCATTACTAAAAATCAGTATGGAATGTCAAGTACACATCTTTTCAAACTAATCTTACTTTATTAAAAGTAATTTCTTTAATTAGTTCCTTATGTTGTGAGAATGTTGTGAACACAATATATCTTGATCAAAATACCCCATGACACTGTGATTAGTGAGCAAATACCACTGGATGGCAGTAGTTAGATGAGCTCAAATTGTCTTGAAAGCAATAGTCAAAGAGTGCTCATCAACAGTTAAGATCGGAATCAAGCATCCAACTCTTTTTCCAAAGGTCTCAGTTCCTATAGTGAACAAATTGGTAAAATGTCATATTAACAAAATAAGAGTTGAAAGGGACCTTCGAGATCTTCTAGTCCAAACCCCTGCTCAAGCAGGATACCTTACACCGTTTCAGATAGGTGGTTTGTCCAGTCTCTTCTTAAAAACCTCCAGTGATGGAGCACCCACAATGTCTGAAGGCAACCTGTTCCACTGGTTAACTGTCCTCATTATTAAGAAATTTCTCCTTAGTTCTAGGTTGCTTCGTTCCTTGATTAATTTCCATCCATTGTTTCTTATCTTACCTTCTGGTGCTTTGGAATATAGGTTGACCCTCTCTTTGTGGCAGCCCCTCAAGTATTGGAACACTGCTGTTATGTTACCCTACTCCTTCTTTTCACTAGACTAGACATACCCAATTCCGGCAACCATTCTTCATATATTTTAGCTTCC